CTACAAAGCCTCACAACAGGGGCGCACTTCTTGGTGCGGGGAGTCCTGAACCTGGGAGTGCAAGAAAAGCGAAACGAAAAAGAGAGGGTGGCTGGACCGCTGCCTTCTTCATGCCCTGGAGAGTGAGCGAGGGGTTACAAGTTAGTGCTCATTCAGGGTTGGGGGATTTCTGCAGTTGAGCAACCACCAGCCTCATCCGATTGGTTTTCACACAGAGACCGAGGCCGGCAGTGCGTGCTTGTGTGCGAGGGAGGGCTGCTGCCGTTCCTTTGTCTGTGTGGAAGAAGAGAAAGCGAGAGAGAGAGAGAGAGAGAGCACGGTGAGGGGGTCCTCGTGTCCCCGAGCCCAAACGCCCTGCAAGACAGCACGAGAGAGAGAGAGAGAGAGATTGAGTGACCAGCCTCTGGGGGAAACTTTTCTTCTCCTTGTATAGCTGAGCCCCCTGTGGGAACACCCGTCGGGGGAAATGAGTTAGACACCCGTGGACCGCGGGTGCGCGCTCGCGCGCAGGGCACAGGGTCGGACCACCCTGTGTCCTTTGCCCCGTGGAGAGAGCGAGAGAGAGAGATTGAGTTCGGCTAGGGGGGCAACCTCCTAGTCCACAGCCCTGGCGAAAGAAAAGATTGAGTTCGATACAGGGCACGGTTCGGTCGTCGTGTCACGCACCGCCCCTGACGCCCGAAGGAAGAAGAATAGAGAGAGATAGAGAGAGAGAGAGAGAGAGAGAGAGATAGAGAAAGAGATAGAGAAAGAGAGAGAGTGTGCCCTGCGCGCGGGCAGGGGGAGCTCGCTCCCCTTGTCCCTAACCCTGGGGAAAGAAAGACAGAAAGAAAGAGAGAGTCAGGATAGCTTGCCGCCAACGTACAGGTGTCCTTTTCGGGGGCTCGCCCTCAAGCCCGGTGCAGCAGAGTCGTACAAATATCGTGGAAGCCCGGGGGAGGTACTCCATCCTTGCACTTATCATAGTATGCTCTGCCAAAAGAACTCAATCCCGGCCTTTCTCACAATTCCTTCAAACCCCCATAGCAAGCCTTGGAGGCCGACCCCCAAGCCCTACGGAAGAAGAGACAGACAGCGTTCGGGCATGAGAGAGAAAGAGAGAGAGAGAGAGAGAGATTAAAACAATCGGGTGGGCATTTTTGCTCGGGGGCTTTGACCGGCCCCTATGCCCGGGAGAGAGAGAGAGAGAGAGAGAGACATTCTGAAATTTGTGCTTGATATGTTTTCCGATATTCCGGCGCTTGCTTGGCGGGTCAAGAAGTTTGATTTTGTTGGCACATGGTCGCATGGAAGTTCGGTACTGAGCAAGGCGATCGGAGGGAAGGGAGGGCGGGGGATGAGGAGGGGAGGGAAGGGGAGGGGAGGGGACGAGGGGAGAAACCCTGGCTCCAGGAGGGACATGAGAGCACAATTAAGCACATGCGCCATCCGCACCCAAAAGACGTGCATTTTCTGTGGAGGCGTGCCGTGAGCGCAGTGCTGGCGGGGGCATTTCTGGTGCTGGCGCGCGGTTTAACGCCCAAGGCCACTCTTGTCAGAAGCGAAACGGGTGAAGGAAGTCGTTCACAGTCACAGCGTAGCCGGTTGCTGCGGTCCTTTCAGGAAGCCTGGGAACGTGTCCTTGCAGTGTGTGACACGCCAGAGAGCGATGCGAAGGCCCAATCATTCGTACAGCTTGGTGAGCATGAGCATGTGTGTGTTTTCTGAAGTCTTACTTAGCCAGGCTGCATGGGATCGCTTCCCCCCACCGTTTTCCAACACAGGTGTGGATTCAATTATGATTCTGGATCTTTGTCATCCTTTCTTGTCATTGTATCTTGCAGGAGAGACAGGGCCTACGTCTCTCACGGTATATGACTGCTTGCGAGGCATGGCCCTGAAACTTGGCAGTAATGTGGTCTTCGATGGTCTTTGATGCCAGCTCGAGGCCTGGCAGCCGCTCGGGAACATAGCTGGCTGGAGGACTCTTTCTGAGAGTGCTTTGTGCATCGGCAGTGACGGTTCTTTGGGCCTCCTGCTTTGGAGAGGACTTTCACTTTTTTGATGTAGAAGCCTGGAAGCTTATGCGCGAGAAGTTCGACGCTTCTTGGCTGATCCCAGGCAGGCTGCACCCAGACAGCAGCATGATGGCTCTCAAACTCCAATGTTGCCAGGCGAAATTTTGGCGATGGCGAACCCATTGGGCACTTCACAGAATCCACGCTTTCCAGGCTTACTGGAGAGAGGCGGGCGGAGTTTTCAGCGGAACACAGCGTGTGTGGAGAACTTGTGCTTTTCAGGACCTCCACCAGATCAACGGCCGGAGTCTTGCTCTGGACTCTAGGGCCCCTTGTAGTAGCTTTGCTGCTTTGAGGCTGCCAGACGAGTGTCTGACAAGTTCAGACTCGGGCCGGGGGGCTCGACACAGCGACGCGGCAGCACACGGCAGCACACGGCACAGGTGTCTCGTTGAAATGAGGTGGCAGCATCGCAGAACACGTTGAGGCTGTTCGAGAGTTGGTTCCGTGAAGCTAGTCGAGCAAGATGCACTCCTTTGCTCTGCAAACCTTTCGAGCTTTATCCATCTTCGTGAACACGTTTCCATGGCGTGCCAAAATTACCCTTTGAATCTGCCAGATGTTTTATTAATCAATCACGCTTGCTTGGAGGACGGTGTCTCAAAGGATCGAAGCTCCGCAGAAGGCCCACAAGGGCTTTGAAGCTCGACACGGACAACGCGTGTGTCGGACCAGAAGCAGCGAAACAGTTGCAGTTGGAGGCTTGTTGAACATTCCCGCATCGGACGAGATCCGTCGAGGAGAGGGAGCTTAGGGGACCATGACATGCTCCGGATCACACGATACCGTGGCAGGTGTGTCCTGGAAGCTTCCCTTCTCCAGGCTCTCGGCTTTGCATCTTTGTGGAGAGGGGCAGAAGCCCGTGCCCGTCCTGGAGGTCAGCGGAGCACGAACGTCTTGAAGCGGACACCTTCATTTCCTTGATGCTGCGGAGCAAAGTCTTTGAGGTCACAAGGCACACTCGGGATGGTGTTCGGGACTTGGGGGACGACAGCCTCAGCGACTCCAGGCTCAACTACGATTATGAGTGCAAGGAGCAAGACAAATACGAGAAGGCATGGGGCGCCTTGGCAAGTGTCCTGCTCTTTCGATGTGTCCATGCCAGGCGTTCATGAGGCAAGGCGTTCGAGTGCACCATCTTCCGTTCACGGACGGTGACGTCCCCTCCAAGGTGCTGCATTTGTTGTTTCTTCCGGATTCATCATGGCCACAGATGGCGTGTCTGCGAGAACCCCCTTTCATCCTGCATGCTAAGAGAACATAAGAGAACACTATGAGGAAATGAGAGGTTTTTATCCGAACCGGCGAAGTCTGCTGTCCAACAGAAAATTGTGCATGCAGATACTGTTTGCTGCCAGGCTGTTGTCAGTGAGTTCTTGAAGCAATGTCGTTACCTCAGTCAGAGCAACCTGAATCCTTCTTAACTCTGAAAGTGGCTCAGGTAAAAAGGCCTTGAGCAAAGACGGCACGATAGCCCTTCATTGCATGGGAGGCATGGGCAGGCGCGCTGAAGCAGGGTTGTGCCAGACAGGAAGTTTAGCTGTTTAGCTTGTCTCCAGCCAGGACTGGAGTCATGGCGGGTCTGGGCCTCACTAAAATTAAATGCCGCAGGATGTCGTGGTTCAAGGGTTTACAGCCTGCTCCACCACGACAAGCGCAAGTTCTGTGTAGCTGGTGTAGCTGCGCACTTCCTTCGCACACCCGAGTTGCTGGCTGTTGCATGTAGAAGGTTGTACATGCAGGACGTTCGGTTTTGGATATGATAAGGCAAAGGGTGCCAGCAATGTACATCCCGACCAAGATAGAGGCATTTATGGCATAAATGTGTGGTTGGGAAGCAAGTGTAGCTTCAAAGAATGAAAGCGAATGGAGGTGGGTTCCCGTACATCCTTCGTAGTTTGTGCAGGCATAGAATATGCAGAAATGGCCAGAAATGGTGAGAAGTAGTCTGTTTTTGTCATGGATTCTTGAAGTGCATTTTCGCAACATGAGAGCTTGGCACGGTGTAGGCTGTGTGCCCTTGCAAGCTTCTCCAGCAAAAGAGCACTTTCACAACGCTTCAAGCCATTTTTGCCTGCGTGCACAGCAATCACAGAAGTGTGGATACCCAGTTTGCCGCCAGAGTTGAATCAGGCGCCCATGCTGCCGCACATCATCAGGTTGATGGGATCCTCGGAATGCATGATTCAAAAGCAGTGTATGGACACACCATCAATGTGTGTGGTGCGCGTGGTGAGTGTGTTGCGTTCGTGCACATCAGGAAAGCTTTCCATGGTTGGACTCGAATATGCCGGCCCGGCACAGTGCAGACGGTGAAACAAGAGGCGCTTGCCTTTGCTGAGTGGGTTTTCAACATCCGCGATGCTCCAGATTCAAAACGCAATGAGATGGTTAGCCCTTTATCGCCTTTCGGATTCATTTCCTTTTCATGGATACTCCAAAAGATCAACAAGATCGACAAGGGAAGTTCTTGATGGACGTGTTGGCTTCAAGGGAAGATTGAATCTCGGAGGCGAGTGGTCATGCAGGGTGGAGACAGAAATAGCAACGGTTGGGGCTCTCTGGCAAACTGTGGCAACGAGATGGGCTACCAAGGAGATCACGATGCCCCACTCCATCAAAAGACACGTTCCTAAATTTTGCTAAAGTGCGGACATTCTCCACGGTTAGCTGTCAAGTCAGCTAGCAGCTGGGCCTCTGTATTCAGGAGTTCCTGCGCGGCTTGGACTGCGGGGAGGCTGTGCATCGTGCGGTGAGCTGAGGTGTGCCATTGCTTTCCAACACTCCATGGCTACTGCAAAGCAGAGTTCGTTTTTGCTGAGGCTTCCAGTGTCAGGACACTGCTGGGACGAATCAGGCACAGCAAACTGACTGTGCACCGCATCGCATAGATTCTCAGGGCTTGGTTGCAGCTGATCGTGTGAGGTGTGGCTCCAGCTGACCCCTCGCACCATGATTTGTGAGGGGACGGAGTACACTATGTTGTTTGAAATCAGGAATCTTGGCATCTCCTTGATAGGATGGTCGTTATTTTTCAACATTCGCCACATTTTTGCGCCTGCACGAAGTGCGCTGCGCGTCTTGCACACGTCGGTGCGTCCTTCTCAAGACTCACCGTGATAGTCCAGTATTGCTCGAATGCCTGAGTTTCTGGTGGTTTGTATGATGTATGATACGATGGATTTGGATGGTACCTCTAGGCCTCTAAGCTTTAGCAAGACACTGAGGATGAAACACCACCAGCTCGTTCATGTCTGCCCCGATTTCTTTTCCTCCGGTCATCAGCAGTGATTGTGATACTTCTTCACTCAAGCCTATTCGTTTGTGTGTGGTCTTCCTGCTGACACAGCTGATTGTAACCGGGAGCTTGGCGCATCCTGTGGCCTCGCAACGAGAGCGGTCATTTAGCAGACATTTCGGTCAGCGTTGTAGCTTGCAGCTCGAGCTGCAAGAGATTCCGAGGAGAGTTGAAGAAAATGTGCAGAGCGTCGCAGCAAGCACGCATCATGCATGGCTGCAATCATCCATGACTGCATCAATACTTGGGCAAAGCAACAAGCTTCGAGCCATGGTCGCAACTTTCTTGCTCTCCGACACAGCGAGCCAGGTCGCACATGCCACGTCGCAACAACTGATTCAAACTGGTTTTTGGTGATTTCAGATGGGTCTAGGTGTGCATTAGCGGAACTCTTTCAATCCAGACCGTTTGACTAGGGATCCATGGAAGGCTGGCCACCAAAGCAAAGCTGGAGCCAAAGACGACTGCTCTTTGGGATCTGGGTTGTCTAGGCCAGTTGATGAATGCACTGAGGACATGGGACAATCTTTGGAAGCATGCTGTGCTGATCCCAAGCCCAAGAAGCTCATCTTGCAGACCAGGCGTGACAGGAGGGCTTTTCGTGCTGTCCGGCATGACAGTAAGAATAGTAGCCACAACTGTCTTTGTCTTGGTGAGTAGACGCATGCTCAAAAGGCATGCAGACGCATCAAGCGCTCGGGCCATTCAAATCTCACAGACAGTTTTACTTCTCGACTTTGTTTTTTGATTTGTGGTCGCCATGGCAAGAGATACTGTTCAAAATGTAGGGTTACACGAAGCTAGTTTGGGTGTTTCAAAACGACACTTGAGTGTCCATTTATCTTGGAATCGTTGAACACTCGGTCATGCACTGCCACAGACGTACCGGGGTCGTACAATTCACAGCGCAACAGCTGCAGCCGAGGCGCTTGCTGCTTTCAAGCATTCTTGAAGCCTCTCGCCCGAGCCATGCAGCCGGTCTGGACCAGAGCATCCGAATTATCAGATCTATGGGCAGATGCCACGGTCCTCCAGGGACTCCACGACATGTGTTCCCGGCCGCAAAGTGTAGATATTCTGATATCCTCATCTCTCATGCAAACATCGACAAAGAGAGAATCCTGCAACATCAATGCCGGGGGCGCAAGAATGCTGTTTTTAAGCGGCGCTTCTGCAACAACGGACGAGATCTTCCTGAACCTTCTCCAACTCGTTGCCCTTCCGGCATTCGTTGGGCCGTTGCCGTGCATCCATCGGAACTCCTCAAAGGTTGGTTGAGCATTGTGCTGAAGCATGATGGAAGATAGACATCTGTCTCGATCTCTAGAATTCCAAGTACTAGCAACCTACACATTGACATTTCTGTTCAAGACTTCTTCTGGTGCAAGGCAGCATGCTTCCTCACACCTGAGAGCACCCTAACAGGTAGTTGAATCTTGAGAGGCCAACTCCGAGAACAAGGTGTGTGTTCGGGGCTCAGCAGTGTCACCGGTAGTTCGCGGGCAACCGCAGGCAATCTTGAACGGCTAAGCATGCCGTGCACAAGTTTGTTGAAGCGCACGGCAGCCCACCAGGACATAGCTGAAGTTGCATGCAAGGTCGGTTCAGGAGGTGGACGAAGAGGAGATTCGCGATCTGAAGTGTGGCCCCAAGCCAAGCCTCAAAGTTTCAGAGCTCAGGCTTCCAAAGTTCTTACAAGTAACAGGAAATCGGAGAACTGCATAACACCTTCACAGAAGCTACAGCCACTCGAACTAGATTCCGTCATTGGACCTGTGCACAAGGGAGAGGTCAACCTTTGGACAGCCGATATATGCTGCCGAGGGACTGTTTGCTATACAGCTGGAGATGAAAGCGTTTGCAACATTTCTCGTCGCAAGGGGCTTCACAATTCTTTGCGAGTCAGGACCGGGAATGCGATGTTTGCATGTTCTTGCAACCTGCATGCGTCTGATGCGGACCAGTGCGAAAGGAGAGTTTGATGACTCCCTGCAGACATCGGTGGTCAACCAGGAGCGCAGAACCGAAAGTCGCAAAGATTCAGATGCTGGGCCGCGCAGCACTGACGCAGGAGGACCTTATCATATTGAGAGGTCATATTGCTGAATGATGGAACCTTTGAGATTGTTGAGCAGGCTGAGATTTTGCTAACACCTGCTACAAGCACAGACCTGCACACACCTGCACGATTCTGTCAGCAAGCCCGACATCAAGTTGCGCAGCTTGTCATTCAAGCAGGTCTCACCAAAGACAAGTCTGCCGCTGAATCAGTAGCTTGGGCAACCAACAGCGCAGCATTATGGATGGACGCAACTGTTAACTCGTAAACTGCGACCATGCAGCAAATCTCTTCGCAGCCATGGAGACAACCGCTCACGCAGCCGCAATCTGTGCAAATCACCCCGCGTGTCGAGGGAGTCTTCGATTTGTGCCCATATTGTCGCAGTGTTTGTACAGGTGAATTCTCATCCTGCCGAAATTGTGGCAGGCAGAGACACCCGTCGAAGACCTTTTTAGACGGTGAGTTCTTGGAACTGAGGGACTCTCTTTCCTCAGCTCTCCGTGCAGCTCCTGCGGCGCAATCCTCTCAGGGGAAGCAGGCGCTGGCTCTGCAGACTGTGGTCGAGGAGTCGCGTATCTCGGTTGAAGGGGTGTCTAGCTTTTCATCATACCCGAAGTCCATCTGTGATCCGGCTTCGCCGGAGCCCAGTGAGAGTTTTGACAAATGTCAGCACTGCCACGATACCTACCGGGCAGATGCGTTGTTTTGTCAGCAGTGTGGCCAGCCTCGAGAATATGATAGCGAGGGCAACGAGTTGATCTTCATCCAGGCAGATTATTTGTCAGTGACAGATCCGGACAAAAAGGCTAAACTCGAAGAGGTGAAGGCGAAGCTTTCTGTTCTGCTCGGGCAAGAATCCATGGAAACGGAAGGAAAGCCTGCAGAAGCACAACATGGAGTTTCGTCAGAACATCACACATCGGACATGTGTGTGAGTCCACACCAGAATGTCAGTCCTAACAGTACCTTTGCGGTCACAAGTGCTCCAGACAGACATGGTACTCATTCGTTGGATGATACATGTTCAATGCCCTGGGAAGAGATGTCTCCAATCCTCCATCGTGCAGGGAAGCTGGCGACAGGGGCGTTGGATGTCGGTGATTCAGAAGAGGAACGTCAGCTGCAGATTTTGGTGTTTTCTGGGTATCCAGCTGCTCCGTCTCCCCCTCAACCACGGTACATGAGCGACCATGGCACCATGAGCGAAACGATTTCGCTTGCACCAGAACCGGCCATCCAGCAGTCCAACGAATCTGGCGACTGGCTGGAGTGGTTGGTGAAGAATGCATGGGAGACAGACTCAAAGGAATTGCACTTCATTCGGCACGACTGGAACATAGATGACACACCTTTTGCTCCGCAACTGCGAAGTTGGCCCGAGAAGCACAACGAGTCTATCACTGGCTCTGCTATCCCGGCACTCCCTTCGTCCGACGAGCCACATGACTCCCCGGATCTATGCGTGGTCATGTAGCCCAGCCCGGCGCACGCCCCCGAATCGGCCTGAAGCTGTTCAAGGTGTTTTGCTGGTCTAATCGGCTTTTCGCAACCCCAGTGTTTTCTTGGTTTTGGACTCTGACCTTCCGATCAGGTGCGAGGAAAATCTGTGCCGCAGCTCAAGCGCAGTGAAAGTAGCTCGGTGTCATGGGGAGCCTGTACCGGGGGTTCCTGTGACTGTTGGAGGCCTGCAGCCTGCAGTGACATGCCGGCCTGACGCAAACTGCGAAGGCCGGCAAGGCCAACTTGTCCCTAAGCAGCACTTGTACTTGGTCATTTGGACTTCATTGAAAAAGGCGTGGCACTGAAAACTTCAGTGGGCTGCAAGCACTCCGTGAACGGGCCAACTTGACTTCTTGGCTCTAGCTCTGCCTTCTGCAATCTGCAGGGCTGTGTGAGACGAAGCATTCAATCAGAAGTGCATGATTAGACATTCCAGATGTCCATTGAGACTCCTAAGACTCCGAAAACTGCCAGTTTCATTGTCGATGCGGCCGTCTTTAAATTAACGGGATGGCTCGGACAAGTTTCTCAGTGTTGGTGGGAATATAAAGTGTGGGAAGCCCAGCTGCAGATCCGGCTAGTGATATCGAGCTTGCGTATACCACACTTTGCTAAGACTGACTGACAATGCCTACGAACTGGAGATGACACTGGTGATGGCCCGGAACTGGGCAACAAATGCCAGGAAATAAACTCTGTGACATTCATTTCTCAGGCCCCAGAAGACCTGGGACGTACTTCATCAGCCCTCGAGGTCCGTATGTTGCGTAGAGGCATTTCAGAGGAGTCTTCTATCTACGGTATGTCTTGACCTCGGGTGCAACCGCAAAGGAGACCTGGCACGGTCGAGTCACGACAGTGCTCCCTTCAGGCACCACGCATCATCCCACGTGCACCTCGACTTGCCGCCGTGTCTCAGAACGAGGGGCATTGACATTGACAAGCTGCTAGCTGCTGACAGAACATGACTCTGCGAGCTCTCAAAATTTTGCCGAGGTGCCGGATCAAGACGGAAATCTGCGTGTCGACGAAGCACATGTTCAGCTTATACAGCCAGACCAGGTGAGGAGCGTGCTTGCGGAATTGTTAAGTTGGTTTTAACTTATTTCACATTGGCGCCGAGCGCTCCATCTATTGAGTTCTGTCCAGCCTTGTTGTGAATCTCCAAGCCCTTGTATACGTGAAGCTTCTGACGTCATATTAATGGACTGTTGCCATTAGCCGTGCTGGGCACGCACATCCACTAAAGCATGCAGCAGACTCTTCGAGAGCGGGCCATGCGAGACGTAGGCCCCCGGCTTCATTTGGCGGCACATCCCTTTCAGTTTAACCGGTAAGTACCCGCCTACCATAGGCGTCGATAGACCCCTAGACAGACCCCTATGGTTTTTCCGTGGGCCCCTATTCCGCCGACCTCCCAAATCATCCACGGACTGTCCTTGTAGACCCCTATTTGACAGACCCTGACCGGATTTGTATAGACCTCTAGTCCATAGTCCCCTATCCCGTTCGCCATAGGCCCTATCTCAAGCCAGAGGCCCCTATGCCTTTCGTTGTCCTGTTTGAAGCACTTTTGACTTGTGTAGTAGCCGCGATCCTCCGTGCGATGGGCCCGCAACCAGCATCTTGCAGATGCTGTCCTGTGCCATGCGCGATACTAGATTCCGTGCACGGCTTTCTCGCAGCTCGGCGGCTCCATGCTGTGTTTCCTTAGCTTCCCTTCTCATGCAGCCACTAGGGTAGCAGAGCATGCGAGTGTAGGGAACGATTGTGTCAATGCACATGCACAACCAACTGAGCAACGAGGTCCCATGCAAATTCGTTTGAATGGTTTGTTCTGCGCTGGGAGAGTGAAAGAAGCAGGGTTTGTTCAGTGAGCCCTTCTTCCACCAACCCTATTTCCTTACCGTTTCCAAGCGCAGAGCAAACCGTTCAATGAATTTACGTATGGCCTCGTTGCTCAGTTGCTTGTGCGTGTGCATTAACACCATCGCTGCCTTCATTCGCATGCCTTGCTAGTGATCGCTCCTACCCTAGTGCCCGCGTGAGACTGGAAGCTAAGGAAACACAGGGGAGACTGGGCGGGGGGGGTGTTGGGGCAGGTTTTTGGTAACGGTTCATCAGCTCCTCACATATCTTAAACACGCCCCCTCATTTGGCGATATTCATCATGTATCTTAAATGCGCTCCTCGTTTGGCGATGCTGAACAAATCTCTCGTTTGGCGATTCCGGCTCAACATATATCTTAAACACGCGCCCTCATGTGGCGATTCCGTTTGGCGATAACGGCTCATCAGACATGTTGAACACGCCTCCTCATTTGCCGATAACGGTTCACCATACATCCTAAACATGCCCCCCTCATTTGACGATTCCGGTTCCCTCATTTGGCGATCACCGGTAAACACGCCCCCTGCTTTGGCGGTTCCGGTTTATCCTATGTCTTAAACATGCCCCCTCGTTTGGCGACCACGGTTCATCATACATGTTAAGCACACCCCCTCTCCGGCTCATCATACATCTTAAACACGCCCCCTCATGTGGTAATTTCGGCTCACCCTATCTTAAACATCTTGAACATGCGCCCTCATTTGGCGGTTTCGGCTCATCATATATCTTAAGCACGCCCCCTCATTCGGCGATAACGATTCACCATATACCTTAAACACGCCCCCTCATTTGGCGATTCCAGTTCATCATATATCTCAAACACTGGCGGGCCGACTGACCGACTGTCCGATTGACCGGCGCGCTCGCATAGCGACCGACGGCCCGACAGATTGACTGACCGGCGGGCTGGCGGATCGACTGACCGACTGACTGGCTGGCGGACATGGCGCTTGAAGCAATTCAGTCAAAAGCCAAAAAAGCACAAAAACAAACAACAATACCCAACAAGAACACCGGATCATATAGACCCCTGTCGGAAAACGATAGGGGTCTGTGTCCGTCATAGGGGTCTATCCCGAAGCCATAAGCCCTTATCCCACTCAGGAGGCGCCCCCTAAGCATAGGTACCTATCCGTTTTTCTGGAGACCCCTGTCCATGGCAATGGGGCTCTATGGCTTAGTCAGTAGGCAGGGTGGGGTAGGGGTCTATGCCTTTTCGGATAGACCCCTATAAGATAGGTGTCTATCCTTTTTCGATAGGCGGCTACTTTCCTGACTCTTACTCCCCAGACGGAGTCAGGTTGATTGTGTGGTCAAGAGGGGTGTGGATTGAGACACTTACAATCACCGACATCAGCTGCATGGGCCTCGTTGTGAGCAGGCAGCTATGCAGAACCTACCCCCGGAGCAGGTCATCTCCTCAGCCATAGATTCCACTACTCACGCACCTGAAACTTCCAGTTTGTAGCATGAACTTGCACAGCTTGGAGCAATTGTGTAGCGGCATGCCAGGTGGCATCTTCGAATGGGTTGACTTCACTCCAGGACTCGCGAAGCTGAGATGTGTGTGGTCGGTCAGGGAGGTTTGGATTGGGGGTCGATCTTGAACTGTTCTGGTGTTGACGCGCAATCGTCGTTACCAAACTGAAACAAGAGTGAAGCAACGCCCTAAGATCACTCAGCCAAACCAAGCACGCCCAGCCAAAAGCCCACGACGGCCCTGCGGTGCCCTGTGCCATTCACCGGCAGCATCGCGCCCGCACAACCGCAACCATCGCAACCATGCACGACATGATTGCTGCGGGGACTATGCGGCCCAACCATTAGACAGACGCAAACAGCTGCAGCTAGACGTTTCCAGGCCCTCTTGGAAAGTGCCGAATGCCGAAGTGGTGAGTCTTCTCACTACATTGTTAGATTCTGTTAGATCGAACGCTTGTCACGAAAGCTAGCTTTGGTCAGAAATAGCGTGCAGGACCTTATCTGGTCCTTCTCAATAGTTAAAGCAGGGGTGTAGGGGGGCCCGCGCCACTACGCAACTGATTGATTCAGACCAACAAGGAGGGGACCCCCCCGCAGCAATATTTGTACAAGAGTCATGGGGGGTCTCCCCCTCGCCCCCACCTTAAGATCTATCTGTTTAATTGCAACTTGCATGTTATCTTTGCGCGACCGAGTGCATCTACGAAGGTTTCAAGTCTGCTGCTTCAGCAATCATCTGAGCTACCACCGGGACAGTTCGAAGCTGCTCGTAGATGCCCGAGCTATTGCTTACGCAGGGACTTTCCGGAAGTCGAGGAGGTCGGTCAAGAGACTACGGTACGACTAGGTTGTATCTGTATGTTGGCCAGCGTAAAGCAGAAGAACGCCATCTTGCAGGTTGACGCTTCATGGCAGTACAAACGTGCTTGCATCCGCGCTGCCGGGCATTCACGCAACAACGACCGAGCTCTATCGACTCTGCTTCCTTCTTTTGCCCTAGCTTTCGTGGCCTCTTCTCAAGCATAAGAACAGAGGAGAAATGAGTCGGATGTGTGTGAACGGCGCAGCAAGCTCCGCAAATTCTGAGGTTTTGGACACTTCAGCAAATGGAGACGAACCTCTACTTGAAATGAAAGGGCAAGCATGAAAGAAGTGCAAGATGACTGAGGACGATGTCAGAACATCTGGGGAAACGTGGTCAAATCGTACGAGAAAGAAAACCACACGAACCTGTGCAGTCAAGATGGACTTGACATTTCGCACACTACAAGGGTTGCAGAGCGTAGTTGGCCCCTCCCCCCCCCCCCCATAGCATGGTCTTGGAGGCCAGCCATGGCGAGCCCACCTAGCTACCCTCGGGGTACCATGGGGGGAAGGGGCTGGGAGCCTGGTAACTCTGCGCACCATCTCGAGCCCCGAGCAATCAGAACAAGGAGAAGATTCATGGTGGAACACGGGCCGCAGGATGTTACGTATGTTGCAAGTAAGATTCGACTCACAGGAGTTGCAGTATCAAGCTCATTTGGAGTGTGGAACCAAGTCTTGGTCACTTGCGATGAGTGTAGAGTGTAGATCTGCCCATGTGCAATTCTTGTTTTCTCGCCTCAGGCAGCAACTACTTCAATCTCGTCTGCAGCAGTTGCATGGGTCTCCAGACTGGAAGAAGCTTTCGGTTCTTCATGGCTCCATGCTCTTGGCCTAAGTACGATCCCGGGCATCGCGTCGCTTGAACTAGTTGCAATTCATTGCTGCAGGTTGCAACATCTCGCAACACACAGAGCTGCACACAATCTGCTGTTGCACGGCCAGCTGAGTGCTAAGGACTGACGCAAGTTTCGGTGGCCTCCTGCAGCAACAGCAGCCTCTGCAGCCAAGCCAATGTTCATTTTTCCATCAGAATTCCAACCAAAGTGGTGTTCCCAACTTCTGGATGCCGCACATGCCAATTCCGGAGAGCTTTCACCGATCGCATTTCGCCCCAGCACCACAGGATTCATGGAAATCACAACAGCACGGTCAGCAGTCGGTGAACTTCCAGGTGGCACAGCCACCGCACTCGTGGCAGTACCAGTGCAACCATGGCAATCCCACGGGGGCGCCCTGCTTGGAATCTCACTCAGATCTTTCAGCCATTCAAGAGCCGCCGATGCCTGAGAGGAATTCGTCTGACGTTTTTGCGCCATTCACAAGCACCGCAAGCTCCTGAGGGTCACGCAAGTCCAAAGCATGGGAAATGAAAGGCTGCCGTCCCTCTTGCTACATGGCCAGCATTTGTTCCAAGAGTCGTCGTGGAAGCCGGACCTGCGCGTGTATGTGAGGCCTCCTCGCGGACTCGATGCTCCGAAACTTGTGCTGAAGCCCTTGGTACCACCTCCGCCGGTCTCGGCCATCTGACAGATTGAGAATTGATTTCAGTCTTGGACCCATGTCCGGGCTCTCCTTCAGTTTGCGAGTATTTGCGAGTCTTGTCATCTGAGGCTCCTGTAGTGCCGCATCCTGTTGAGATGGGATTGGCTTGGCCAGAACCGCAAGGACAGCCAACAACTAGGATTTCGGGCCGTGATTCCGCCCTTGTTTGCAGGACAGGGCCTCCCGGCCCCAGCGCGAGCCCCCACGCTGGCCTGTGCTTCTGAAGGTCGCGGCTTGGTAGGCGGCGTGGACCCGGCATTGCTGGCTCCGATGGGCGTTGCTCAGTCAGAGCGCCCCGGCTCGAGGACGCTTACGGCAGAAGCGGAGGAGCTGTCGTTCATTTCTTGAGGCATTCGTGGCCGATGAGAGCCGGTGCAAGCGACCGCGGCGATCCAGGCTTTTAGCCCAGCACGCGTGCAGGGTTTTTCCTTCGTGAGGTGAAGACGGACCATGACGGACCCAAAACATCTGCATTTTCGTGAAAGAAGTGAATATCGCTAAGGGTAGACGCAGCTCGAATCTCATAGACTCGACAAAGCCGCCCTCGCCCAGGTTTGCATCGCATGGCAGGCCGAACGCGAGAAGCTTCGGTTTGTGTGCTTGCGGAATTTTCGGGGTGCTGGTGGCGGCATGGAATGTTCTGCAGCCCACATCACAGCACCTCGGTGATGCCCAGCGCGCGGCAGTGGCTCATCCCCAGTCTCCTTCGTTTCTCTCGCCTCCCCTATGCCACCTTGTCTCTCGTCTCGGATTCCGTCATCTCAATCGCCATCAGCGCACATCGCTACATTGCATTTTTCTCCACGCAACGTGCGGATTGGATGTGCCACGCACTGTTCCGCATGACCCTCACGATCCCACACGTTTGCGATGCACAGCAATCACAGGTTGAGGCCCATCGATGCCCGTCGGAGATACCCGCGCACTGCGGTGGGTCCTCTGTTCGTCGCCTTTATTCTTTCCCGCCCAAGTCCTGAAGCAGAAGCTGGTGGAAAGCCTTCATGGAGACCACCTCAAAGAGCAAAATTGCGTGAGGAAGCCACAGCGCAGACACCACCTCATCAGGAAAATCACGTTCCTGATGCAGCTTGTTGGTTCACCAGGTTGCCCCGCCGCCGCGCAAACTACGGAAAAACAATCAGAGACCACCCGAAAACACAGGTCAACGACCGTACACCTCTGCTGCACTGAGAGAAAAAAGCGTGTTAGTTCCTTAGCAAATTGTCCGCCGAAACGCGCACAGCAAACATCGTACAATCAGATAACCAAGGAACCCAGAATCAAATTAGAAGACTTAGAAGAGGCGGCCGAGACCAAGAATCTCACGTATGCTGGGGTGATACATCCTCATCGGGTCCAGGCCACCTCCAAACTTCACCAAGTGAGCACAGGCAGAGATCATCACTGTGTTCATTAGCGATAAAAGTGATCTCGAGCACCGAAGCAATCCATCGCCTGAAATACCAAGAACTTTCATCAATACCATGCGGCTCAAAACAGATTCCATCAGACAGAAGCAAGGGACAACTGTACAAGACATGGGAGGGTGGTTTTTGCGAGGGCACAACTCTCAACGGAGTCATTGTTTGTTGACGCAGGAGCATCAAATATGTTCGGGCACATCTCGCATATCTCCTGAAACCCGCCTGTCTACCAAAAGAAGTCGTCTATTGGTCGCGGAGATATTAATGATCACCACCACAATAAATACCAGAGTCCCAACGAATCTCTCCCCGACTCGTACCGATGTTCACGATCACGACCTGCTCGTCGCACTCAGAAGCTTGAGGGGGAACAGGGATGCTCCTAGACGGAGACCGGGCCACGAAGAAACCGCTCACTTCGGATTCGAAATGTTCCTTGCTGTGCTGGCCAGTCATGACTATGCTGGACATCCGACAGAGAAGATGTGTCCAAACTAACTCAACAACGACCTGCCATGTCCTGGCTCTCGCTGGCTTCCTGTGATGTTGAGAACCCTGCCCTTCTCGTTTCTCTTTTGCATTTTGGCGGTCCAAGTTTGGGTATTTCAGTTTTCGTGATCCACGGCAAGCAACTCCTCCACTTCGAACACAGCTGTTTACTTGACCCAAGCGCGCTGCGTCATATGCGGTTGCTGTCTCTCGTGGGAATGCAGAGTGCTGTACAAGACTGGTTCTGAAAGTTCACTCCGCTCTTGTTCCCGAAGAAAAAAAACTGCGCTATCCTGTGCAATCAGCGCAAGCTCTTATGGCACGGATTCGCACGTTGCGAATGTGCACACAACTGCGGTCGCGGTGAAAGGTCCTTCCGGTGGCCACTGTTGCAAACAACTCGCCCGGTACGATCACCCGTTCTTGTGGTCGTTGTAGTCGGTCGTTCTCGTTCCGCAGGTGTCGTAGCTCTCT